AAAAAAAAAAAAGAAAAAAAGAAAGAAAAGAGTGCGGAGAAAATATGCGGAACAAGAACAAGCCCCTTAACTTTTAAGGTTAAAATTTGACTTTACTGTGATCATATGCGTCGTTTAGTCGTTCATCGGCACGATTAACGCACTTCGAGATCAAGATAATTCTCATACTCGATCCATTCGTGTCGATGAAATATCGACAGTAAGAGAAGAAATTGGAGAAATAACGTTGTAATTCGGGTTTCCTCTCGGCTGCACGATTTTGTTAATAAAAAAAAAAATAAAAAAAAAAAAAACTAGAATGGGGAAAAAAAAGGAAACAAATAAAAAAGAAAAAAAAAAAAAGAAAAAAGAAAGAAAGGAAGACGAAGGGGAGTCACTACTTGCTTCGAAAACGGAGCATCGCCACTTTTTCAGGGTTTCACATGAGCGATTTTACTGATAAATTACGAAACTTTTCTTATAATCTATCTATATCTATCAATAATCTCTTCTTTTGATTGTCATTCCTTTACCAAGAGAAAAAAAAAAGAACAAAAAAAAAAGGACAAAAAAGAAAAAAAAAAAAAGAAGGAAAAACCAGCCAACATGATATGATTTGCTTTAACGAGCAAATATGAAGATCTTACGGCACGTCGTTACTTACAAGATCAATGACGATAAAATTTATTATATATCATGTACAACGAATATGATGAGAAGATATTATTAACAATAAATTAACTTCTAACATTATTCCCAAAATATGTTTCATTTTCTTTCACACTTATTCCTTATCACATTGTCCTAAATAATAATTAGATATCGAACCCTTTTTTTTTTTTTTTTTTTTAATTTTGATATTGACATCATGCAATTCTTATCTAATAAATAATATATACATGTGTGTGTGTGTGTGTATGCGCACATATACAAAGCTATATACAAGTAAAAGTTATTGCAACAATATATAATCATACCGTACTTCGTATACTGGGATAAAAGTACTAAATGTAAACGTTTTCTTAATAACCCTTTATTCCTCGAAATCTTCTTCTTCCATCCAACTAAAAAAAAACATTCCAAACTGTATATGAAAATATCTATGTGTATATATATATATATATATATATATATATTTTGTGACTCGACGAGGTTATGTACTTACCATAGAATGCTTGCAATCAAATAATGTCTGCCACAAGGAATAACATTCATCAGGCACACTTGGATCTCTACTTCGAAGACAATCTCTTGGTGTACGTTTATCCTAAAATGAATAAAAAAAAAAAAAAAAACAAAAAAAAACAAAAAAAGAAAAAAATTTGTATCGATTATCCAAGAGAAAAATTTAGCTATTTAAAGTTTAACATTTTTAAATAATCGCTAAAATTTATTAAATAATCAAATCCATTTGAAGGTTAGAAATAACACACGGCCATTATTTACTTTATTGCAACAGTCCGTTTTAAGTAGACACATCTTTAATTGTGCACGAAGATGAGCACATCTACTTTGATCTTTTAAAACCTCACTGTTCTCCGAATAATCCATTATATTTTACGTATTATGTTCTTTAACTTTGCTAAAAGGCATGTACGTTTAATAAAGACATTCAAATGAAAACATACATTTTAGAATAAAGATGGCGCCTAATTCGTCCTATTCTTACAATGGTGATCTGTCATCCCTATTGCGACAGATCATCCGTATTTTATATTACATTTGGCAAAATAAATATCAAGTATTAGCAATGATCCCTGTCAAAAGAATAATATACTTTTGAATAACGCACATACTGATCGTTAGATAATAATAAAGTGTACATTTACATATGAGTAATAGACGGACGATATATTAAATTTGAGGTTAGTTTCGTAATATTAGTCGATTAAGCAGTTTTTATATATTATCTTTCAGATAAGAATTATAATCTCGATGTTACATTTTCAATCATAGTTTTTATCATTCATTGTGTCCTTCATATTTTTATACAGACACAAATGGTATATCAGCGTGGAAATCAGAAGGAAGGCTCTCCGCATTATGTATTTCTTTATTCGGATGACGAAAATAGCGGAGACGAGGAAAATTTTCCTTTACAGCTGCGAAACGGTTCTACATCTTCCCCGCGAAAAGTGGAAGTGATAAATGTTTTAATCAAACCGGAGGATACATTGCAAGCATTAGCACTTCGATATAGGTGCACGGTAATATCAAATTGAAAAATTGTTAGATACAAGTATATTAATTTCAATGTACTTTAATATCTTATGATTTTTAGATATCAGAATTGAAAAGAATCAATAAGATTCACAAAGAGAATGAGATATATGCTCGAAGATCTATAAAAGTGCCAATTCAACCATTTTCTATTTTAACAGAAAATTTGGATAAAAATTCTGACATAAGCGAAGAAAAATTAGATACTACTGTACAATCTGAATCAGGGACTATCGCAAGAGTACAACCATCAATAAATTTAGTAAATGTTTCTGTACCTATTGATCTTCCTCAAACAGAAATTAATAATATTATACTTAATTCGGTATGTGAACCTTTAGCATCGTACAAATCAAATAATTTACCGGAAACATCTTATACAGAATACGATCAATTACTTAATTCAACAGAAAGTGAGGTAATAGAATCACATTTCATGGACACATTTAAATGTTCTGGTGATGATTGCGGTTTATCATGGACACAACTTTTAGGAGTTTCTCTGCTCCTAGGTTTTGCTGGTCCTATTATATACATATTGTATATAGCCGAATATTCTACTAAAACAAATCATTAAAGTAACATAGATAATAGAAATATAATGAAAACGGCATATTTAACGTATCTTTGTGATAATAGAAATTATTGGATAATAGAAATTATTGCAAATTGCATTGCTTTAAGGGATTAAGATTAATATGAAAAAAAAAAAAAAAAAAAAAAAAAAAAAAAAAAAAAAAAAAATTATTCATATACGAATTTACTGACATTTTATAAAGTATATAAATTTTTATATTGATCATATTTGGATCGATATAAAGATAAAAACTAACGAAAGTATAAACCGTACGGATTTATTAGATTATAAATTTTAAATTGATAATATGAGAAGTTAATATTGTAATTTAGGTAACTATCTAAATGTCAATTTGATTTGAATCATTATCGAATTTAACCTGAAAAAAAAAAAAAAGAAATCATATCATAAAATAATAGTCTCTTACAAATCGATATCGTGGAAGAAAAACAAAAGTAAATATAAAATCTATATTATATAGTTTGTGAATGCCCAGTGTTAGTTGTTTATATCTATTCTAAGTACATGAGATTTAGAGATTAGAATCTCCATATAATAATTACTAAAAGAAGTGCCTTTATATTATATCTCAATTGATAAAAGAATATGCTATATTTACTTTTACTTAAAAATTTCTGATCTACATGCTGCAGATTTTTTTATAACATTGTATATCAAATTAAAATTCTATTTTAAAATTAAATTTAATTTACATAATTGTACCGCAATGATTTATAATTAAAAAAAAAAAAAAAAAAAAACAGTAATATTTTTTCAAAATAATATGCAATAATTTAATTACTTACGACAATTGATGTTTTTGCTAGGCTGCTTTATCGAAATCTATGATATTATAAAATATTACTTTGATATGATAAACTTTTATATTATTATTAAGAAAAATATATTTTTAATATTCAATTTTATTTTCCTATTTCCATGTTCCTATTTCTCAATAAAATGAAATTATTAGCATTATGAATTTTTCAAATAAGATTTAAGTGTTTTCATAAAAACCTTTTTATTATTACTTTTCAAAGTTACACATCAAGATGGTAATTAATATGTAACATAATTCCAAAATATTTATATTTTGGATGTATCTGCTTTAATAATTTCTTTTTTGTTGCATTCCATCACTCTGTAACACAAAATTGAATTGATAGGTACAACGTTTTTATGAAATTATTATATCCTAAGAATTACATAATGAAAATTCAGTTATAATTTCAATAATATCGTTCATTCTCTATTCAGAAGACCGTCGTAAATTTTATCATCATATATAAAATATTTTTTTTTTCAAAATAACACAATATAATAATTTTATATCAGATATAATAAAGCAATATACTAACCTGATTGAGTCGATGATAAGAATTAAAACTTTTTGAAGCTTTTCTTGGAACCAGTTCCTTTAGAAACTTTCAAAACGTTAAATCTTACCGTTTTACTCAATGGTCTGCATTCTCCAATGGTAACTACATCACCAATTTCTACATCTCTGCAAAGAAAGACAAAGAACATTTAAGAAGCTTATATATCACCAGCAATATTACAGAATTAAATAATACTTGTTCAGAATTCTAATATCATCAAAAATTTGTTAAGAAGACCGTCATTAAGAATTCTAATCATCATATGCAATTACATTTATATTAATTTTAAAAACATTTATATATCATTGTAATATAATAAAAAAAAAATTTTATATTAACCTGAAGCATGGACTAAGATGTACGCTCATATTACGGTGACGTTTCTCAAATCTATTATATTTTCTGATATAATGAAGATAATCCCTACGAATTACGATAGTCCTTTGCATTTTCATCTTTTGCACAACACCGGTGAGAATGCGTCCTCTGATTGATACATTGCCAGTGAATGGACATTTCTTATCAATATATGTACCTTCGATGGCCTATAAATGAATATAATTTAATATTTGTTTGAAGCGAGGAAAGGAGAGAGAAAGAAACAAGAAGAAAAACAAAAATAAAAATAACATGATCTCACCTCACGTGGAGTTTTAAAACCAAGACCAACATTACGACTATATCTCATAGGCTTCCTCCTCTTCGGTCCCAGACCTTTCTTACGATTAAGAAAGATCGTAGGTTGTTTTTGAAACGCACGTTCACTCTGTAAACACGTATTAAACTGGTATTAAAAAAATCTATTATCGAACAAAGGATAGATCTAAAGATAAATATGTTCGGATTTTATTGGGAAAAAGAAGAAAAAAAAAAGTAATATATACATGCAACGTCTTAACCACGTGCAGCGTCGATACCTTCGATTAATAACCTATAACGTTTGCTTTCTCACGTAAATGTTATTCTTGTTCTTTTCTTTTCTTTTTTTTTCTTTTTTTCAAAAATTTACTTCCAACGTAACTAATCGATTAACGTAAATCATAGATTTTCTTTTATTTAACTATTATAACGTAAGATAAATATGTCTATTTTGTACACTAATATAAACGTACGTACCTGATCAGCCATTTTGCCTTGACGAAAGACCGATCTAAAACGGAAGGCTCATGACGTCACTTCACGATTCAGTTCTGCCAACTTAACGTTCCTACGACGCCCTCTATGTTCGATATTAATTTTCTCCCTTTATAATTAATTACATTTCAATTCGTAATTACAATTATTCATTAGATACGATTGAAACAATTTTGACGATATAATCGGAAGGAAAAAATGGAAAGGTCTTTTTATTCTTTTTCTTTTTTCTTTTTTTTCTCCTTTTTTTTTTTTATGTATACAATTCCAATGAATTCGAAACAATGAGATTGGTTATGAAAAGACGATTAATGTTGGTAAACATGTTCAATAAAATTATGTACTTTCTCTAGTTCAATTTAAAAATGTAAGAAAGTAATCGTGAATACGAAATAATAACGGAATCCATCCGTATATTAATATCCGTATCGAGGGACGATTTTTCTCAAATGAAAATTCGTAAAGGAACGTATTATAAGTACGACGAATCAGAAACGTATGCAGATACGATGTTAAACGTTTAGTGTTGCGGTCGCATAGTTCTCTGCGGTTTACCGTTCGTACAGTTCTTAACCTTTACGACACTTTGATATGGCAAGTGCGAAAATATGACGATCGTCAATTTTTTTTTTTCTTTACGCCTTTCTTAAAAATATTCTAGTCAATAGTAGAGGAACGGGACGGTGAAGGGAGAGGGAGGGGGAGGAGTAGGGGAATGCATGTAGGTTCATTAAAAATTTTCCAAATTACGATAATATTTTTCGATAACGAGAAAAGAAAAAAGAAGAAAGAAAATAAAAAACAAAAGGAGAAAAAAAGAAAGATGAAAAATGAAAAAACAATTTGATTCAAAGCTCGTACACATTCTTTTACGATTAACATGGAAACATTTAATATTTCGAAAGATTATTGTATTAAACGTTGCATTTAGATAAAAAGATAGATAGATAGATAGATAGATAGAGAGAGAGGGAGTAAATTAAAAAAAAGTAATAAAAAGAAAAAAGGGAGGGGGAGGTGATGGGTTGATAAAAAAAAAAAGAAAAAGAAAAAGAAGATTTACTTAGAAAAATAATTCTCGATTTCTATTTTCGCACCTAGCAATATATCTTAGTTTTAACCGAGCATCGTAGTACAGAGTTAAAATGGGAAAAGTCGATTCCCCGAGATGGAAAGGGTGATTTTAACTGCTGTTACATTGTCACTGTCCATTCGAACGAGGAGGATATGTACGAAGGACGACGTCAAGTAGTATCGACGTGGGAATGCTTGAAACGATACTAACTCCCTGACGTTGACAAGCGAGCAACATCGTCGATCAGTGACCATTAAATCGTTGTTTTAGGTAAGTCGTTTAAAGGCTAGCCACCGGTTATCGCAGGAACACACTCTAGCAACAGCGACAGCAACGATAGTTGGATGATGTACCTTCTCTCTCTCTCTCTCTCTCTCTCTCTCTCTCTCTCTCTCTCTCTCTTTCTCTCTCTCTCTCTCTCTCTCTCTCTCTCTCTTTCTCTCTTTCTCTCTGTGTGTGTGTATATCTCACTCTCACATCTTTCGCACCTGCGGCCCACAACAAGTTCTTTCCTTATTATGGGAACCCGTACAAGTCTTGGAACGACGAAGAAATCGATCCACTATCGCTTTTTGCACAATTATGCGCACTACCACTGGAGTTCGCCACTTTTTCTTTATTACCTCTTACGTGGTCTCTCTCTCTCTCTCTGTTACTCTCTCTCTCTCTCTCTCTCTCTCTTTCACTGTGCAAACTATGTTATACCAACATATCTCTACTATTCTCTTCTTTAATCATATTATTAAAACAAGATAGGATACGAGATACGAATTCACAAATGAAATTGTTTTATGGCACGTGATCGTGAAAGTTAGAGGTTAGATTTTCATAACTCTCTCTCTCTTTCTCTCTTTCTCTTTCTCTCTCTTTCTTTCTCTCTCTCTCTCTCTCTCTCTCTCTCTCTCTCTCTCTCTATTGTTCACCATATAATATTAAAAGTAATTTTCAAAATGGATATTTTTATTGTTAAGTTAATCGATGTTTATGAGACGGAGATAAAAAAAAAAGAAAAGAAAAAAATAACGGAAAGAAAAAAGAAAAAGAAAAATTCGAACAACCAATGGACATGGATATAAAATAAATAATATTGAATTATATTTTAATTTCATACATTTTATATATATATATATATATATATATATATATATATATATATATATATATATATATATGTACGTACCCATGTACGTAAGTATGTAAGTACAATGGAACGTAATTTAAAACGTACGGAATACTTGTAACATTTGATTCAATATATGTCGTCCTTGAGGATTACATCGTCAATGTCATTGACTTTTATATTTTTATTTAGGTTTCATTTAAATTATTGTATTTAATACGAAATAATTCGTATTGTTATAGGTTATATCATAGAAAAATTATTTATCCTGAAATTTGTTTCGATTATTTATTTATTTATTTATTTATTTCTTTACTTCTTTATTTATTTATTTGTTTGTTTGTTTATTTATTTATTTTTCTTTCTTTTTTCTATTTCCTTTTTTTTTCCTACCCGCGATTTCTCCATGAAAAAATTGTCATGGCGGTTCGTCGTCAAAATGTCGACGTTGAGAATTTACGAGAAACCTGTTGAATTAATAAAATTCCATCATATTGTTTCTTTATACATAAATAGAGTTATTTATTAAAGAATTAACGTGTCGAAAGAATCAAATAAGACGTGCTAAATATATTTTGTATGTGTGTATGTGTGTGTGTGTGCACGCGCGTGTATACATATTGGGTCAAGGAAAATGGCGTCGCGCAATTTATACCACGGTTAATATAGTATGATTAATGAATGAGCGGT